TACATGCACGGGTATTTGACCAAATTATCAGCCACTTCAGGCCAATCTCCAGTACAGCCAGTTTTCTTTATAGTGGTACTGATCTGATATTGGACCCATGTATTGGTTCACCTTTGGTTACAGCCCATATCAAAGCAAAATGCAGACCTTTTTCCTAAGAAACCCTTCTAAAAAGGGGCAAGTCTGTTGGACTCTGATGTTAGACTTTAGGGCTACTTGTCACTCAGGCAATCCCTTCTAAGAGCTGCATCCTTCAGTCTTTACTCAAGCAATGCTCCACAGTCTTCAAAGGAGCTTTCCTGGTGTGGGGACTTCAAAATCAAATCTTTGTCATGTGCTGCTCTGTGAAATGTTCAGCCCTGTTTGAGTTTAGCTCTTAGTTGTCATCTTGTTTTTATTTTTTTTATAGCATTTACTTTTCAAAGGGATAGTGCTTTTATGTAGGGAACCTTTGAAATCACTACTGCTGAGTTGGTGAAATGCACAATAAAGAGAGCTCTTACCTATTGAAAAACTTGGTTCATTAGATTTTTCTTTACTTTATTTCTTTGCTGCAGAATATGTACAACTAGCCTTAAGAAATCATGCAATTCAAAGGCTTCATGCACATAAGTGAGCATGGCATGTGAACACCAACCTTGTACACCTACATTGGGGCTGGGCTCAAATAACCTTTTCAAAGCTTTGTCAAATCCCAGTGAAGCCTAGGGAACAACTAAAAAGGGAAAATGGAGTAACCTGAGGACTGACTTACGTTTTGAGACTCAAATCAGTGCTTGTTTGTAAAGGCTGATGGTAGATGCTTATCTTGTTCTTGGGGAAACCTCTTGTGTGTGGAGCGTTTTAAGTCGGGAATGGCACCATGTGCAATATCGCTCCAAGATTTAAATGGAATGTAAATTGTTTAGAAGGAAAGTCATCAACCCATGTTTAAGACATGTTAAACTGGTGCCATTTTTAGCAAGTGGCTCCATTTAGAAGGGGGCATGGGCAAGTGATAAGTTTGTTTTTTTTTTTTTTTTTTTTTTTTTT